AGCATATCATTAACTTCATTTAGCTTTTGCCGGAAACGATTCCCAGACAAATGTCCAATCTTCCAATCTTCAAACCTGGTCTAAAATATCAATAAATATCCGAAAAACAAAAGCATAACAATTGATGAACCAACCAACCATTATCTGTATGTAGGCTATGTGTAATGTAGAAAGAAAGTCGACATTAAAGTCCAGAAACGCAAAGCGCTCCACAAGATTTGTAAAGGTTGTGGAAATATCCGCAGTGTCTTGCAAACTCTAACTATGAGGGATAATTAATTGTCTACTTTTGGAGTGAAATCAAGCTGACCATCAGTGGGTTTATCCTCATCCTTTGGCAATAGAGGTCCGATAAATTTGGAGTCGATTTCGGATTTTTCAGGAGCAGAATTATGAGTCATGCAAGCTACGTCATCATGATCTTCAGGCTTATCTAAAGCAGCCATTGCTTTAATTGAATCATCTTGAGAAATATCTCGTGCTTCAGATGAGTTATGGACATTTTTTATGCGCGTAGAAGGAGCATCACTATCCGAATCAGATTCGCTGTAGGCTATATACTCAGACAGGTATTGAATAGACTGTCCAGATTTTTTAGGTGGAGATTTCAATTTCTTAATAGAACTTTTGTGTTTCCTCATCTCCTTTTTTGGAGGAGTCAAGTTGTGGTCACTCGAACAATCCTGCTGCAGTTGACACAAATTTTGAAAATCGATCAAATACTGTCTGTAGTTATCTGGCATTTCCCATGATTTTTCACCAGTTTTTGTATCGTAGTAAAATGTAAGTTCGTTCTTTGGATCTACTTGGACAATCCATGACGTTTGTGGGGCTAAGGACGATAAGTAATGAGAAGCAATACCTAATTTAGTCGAACGATTTCCTATCGCATCGACTTCCTAAGTAAAAAAAATATATACAGAATGAAACCTTGCCTCAAAAAAACTTTTGACTTCAGATTCAATTAAGGGGTCCTGCATCAGAAAGAAGAGAAGAAAAGCCCATTCGGGTGAAAAGACAGTTCATAAGTCGCGGGTGATGAGGACGACCCAAATGCGAAAGCCTT